ACACTTGTTAGCCAGCTCTGTCAAACACTTCTTGCACTAAGGTCAATGATAACATTAACTTCAATGAACCAACAAGGTTAATAATCCCAATATAGCCTATCGTGCTGTGTAAAGAACCCTACATCCTGAGAAACATTATTCGGAATCTGCATAAGTAGGTACCAAGGGATACTACTTTACCCAAAGACACAAAGAAAGGTTTAAAGATATTTCTTATATATTTAGATCTGCCTATACAAAGTAACTCCTGCAACTCTCATTAACTTACTTTAAAACTATAAACTTGAGTTTTTGGGTTTTTTTGTTTGTTTGTTTGTTTGTTTGTTTTTGCGGAACCGGGGCTTGAACTCAGGCCCTTGCGCTTGCCAGGGAAGCACTTAATCTACTGAGCCATCTCCCTGGCCCAACATGAGTATTTTAAAATCACAAACTTCCATCAATTAATTTTAAAGTGTTCTAAGACATCTCTGCTAGGATCAAGAATGTACCTTATCTTCAAGCAGGTTTTTTCCAGAGTTTGCTACCTTTAGTGCTAACTGCTTTGTTCTGCTCTAGTACATGCCATTTCAAATGTGCAAGTGATGTGGAATTTTGAAACTGAGATAATAAAATGTGAATAATTAAGAGCTAGCTGTACTGTCTCTGGTTGCTTTCAGAATCCAAGATAACATTAATGTCACAAGTAACATTAGTAAGCAATAAAAAAGTAATGAAATGCATTTACTACCACAAGGATGGTGACAACTTACTAATGTTTACAGAGTCCTGGGCTGTGTGCTTTACATGAATAATCTAAATTCATTAAATCATCAAAATAATACAAAAAAGATGATGTCATTACTATACCTACTTTACAAAAGAAAATCTGCGGTTCAGATGAAGCCTCTGGTCCAGCAGTTCAACTCAGCAACCCAATTTCTGTGCCTCTGCACCTCCACGCTGTCCTCCCTGGCCCCTTCTCCTCAACCTGCCAGCAGCAAGAGCCCACCTTGCAGGCAGTCTCCTCGTCGGCCTTTCGGCCGCACCCACACCACTTGTTCTCCTCTGCTGGGAACCGACACAGCGCTAGTGTCCCTGTCACTCCTCGCTTCCCATCCGGATCAGTGGCAGCCAGCCTGGGCCCCTTTAAGTCCTTTGCCAGGTCTAAGGGTCACTTGGCTCAGTGAGGGCACCTGCATTACATGACCATCCCGTCCCACAATCCCATCTGATCTCACGAAAGGCACTAACATGGTCAAAGATGCACTCTGAAAAGAATATGCTTTTAATTGTGTATGGGAAGACCAGAAATGGGTTTGAAATTAGAGGAAGAACTGTGTAAGTGTAGATGTGCAATGCCTCCAGCTACCTCTGGGCTCCTACTCAGCTGGTTCTCCCTTTCAGTCTGTAAAGAGCTGGCAACACATCATTAGGTTTTCTTGTCGTATTCTTTAAGTCCTAAAGACTTGCTAACTCTGCCTCATCCATTCACAAAGGGGAGGTGAAGGACTGTGCACAGCCTTCACAGCAAGCATAAATTCGGCAGGAGCTTGTGACACCACACTTCCGAAGGTGAATACACCCCTCCACTGATCAGCTTTGTGGTTCTGGTGACAGTGCACCCGGCAGTTTTAGTGACATGTGCCACGGCATTCTACTGAGCAGAACAGGGTGTATGACTGCTGTGAAGATGCAGGGCGTGGCACTGTGGAGCGAGCACTCTTTGGCACTGTCTTGCTTGAGGACTCATGAAGGAGCTCTAAGATGTGGACTAATCTCTACACCTAATTGGAGGACTAGATGTAAGAATCCTCTGTGGAAACTCTTCTGCCAGCCCCATGTCGTCTGTAGCACAAAATCCAAACCACCTGGCGGAGGAAAGAGGGCTCCGGGCCCTGATGTCAGAGGGTACCTGGGCACCTAACCTATCACACGCAGCAGGATCCCCGCCACACCCTCAGCTGCATCGCAGCTCTGAGGTGGGCACGGGCGTGGCCCTGGAATGTGCGCTCCTCTGGCAGCCCGCAGCCCTCCCGGTCCCGCCAGCCTCCTCCTGCATGGCCTGTGTGAGAAGGTGGAAGCACTAGCTCCTCATCCATGTCCCTACAAGCGACACTGCCAGCACTTAGGAGTACTTAGAAAATCCTATGGAGTCCCTCAAGCTTTGGCTCAAAACTTCGACAAATGCCACCATCGCCAGCATCCCCAGCGGCCTCCTTTCTCCTGGCTGCTCGTTCCCTCCCATCTACTGTTCAGGCTGAGTAGCTCACTGTCCATTCTCCCAGGTCCTCTGTCTTCTGCAGCTCCAACTGCCCTCCTGCCTGTCCTCTTCCACCCCACTGCTGGGCCATTCAACATCCTAGCTGGCTCTGCTTGTACTCTCAGAATGGAGACAAGTGAAGGCACAAGCTACATTCTGGTTCTAATCCACTATTTTACACATGTGGACCAGAGCCAACCCGACACTGCTTAATACCTTTGTTTTTTGGTTTTTTTTTAATTTATTTATTTGTGTGTGTGTGTGTGTGTGTGTGTGTGTGTGTGTGGCCAGCTCAGCCCACCAGGGGGCGGGGCTGGCTGGCATATGGTGCTGGGGGATTGAACCGCGGTCCCTGATGCTTTGCTAAGCTTGTTCTAAGTAGGTGCTTTAGACCACTGAGCCATCTCTCCAGCCCAATACCTTTGGATCTCAGAACTAAATCCCTCCAGTAAGAATACTTAATTCAATGCATACATAATATATTCATTCAAGACTATATAAACAGTGACACAGGCTTCCTTTTTTTTTTTTTTTTTTTTTCATCTTTTTTTTCTTTTGCTATACTGGGGGACTGAAAGATTGAAGCCAGAGCCTTGGGCCTGCTATGCAAATGCTCTGCTACTGAGCTACATACCCAAGCCAGTTTGTTTTGTTTTTTATTTTGTTTTGCTTTATTGAGATAGGGTCTCACTAGGTGGTCAAGCTGGCCTCACACTTGTAATCCTCCTGCCTTACCTACCCCGTAGCTGAGATTACAGGCATATGCCACTATGCCCAGCTGAAACAGCTGTTGCTGTTGCTGTTGTTATTTGTTTGTTTTTCTTGAGGCAGAGTCTCCTGTGTAGTTCAGGGTGACCTTCAATTCACTCAGACTCAGAGCAAACTTCCCACCTCAGCCTCCCAAGTACTGGGATTGCAGGCGTATACCACCATGCCCAGCTTGAAATAGCTTTCTAAATGGAACTCACACAATGCTTTATTCATGTTACATAGTTTCAATTTAATCCTAAGAATATATCAGCACACCCTGGTCGCAGTGGCACACACCTGTCACCGCAGCCAAAAACCTCAAGATGAGTCTGCAGAAACAACATTAAACATCACCTCTCTCAGGGATTTTTCACGCCTCCTTTAAGATATGGGTTTAAAATGCGTGACATTTGAAGTTTAAAATCAGAAGAGCCGTCAAAGTGCCAAACACACAGTTATTCTAAACAAAAATAATAACTCACACAGTTTACAACCTATGCCAAATTTCTTCAACTGGCATTACAGTATTATTCAATGATAAGATAAACAGGCAAACTGCTCTGCCATACATCACAGCATAAATCAGACTACCAATTAGGGAAGTATAACATGCCTCGGTGTAACATTAGACTCGCTTCTTCAAATTTAAGTCACTTAAGACATAACTACCTAAATATTCGCCTTATATCCCAAAAATTTATGGCAAAGAGCTGCACAGGATACAAATAGACCTTTGTTTTAAAATGGTGCTTTTAAGAATGAATTAAGGGGGGCCAGGGAGATGGCTCAGTAGGATAAGTGCTTGACTGGCAAACACAAGGATCTGAATTCAATCCCTGGTTCCACCAAAAAAAAAAAAAAAAGAATGAATTAAGGGCCAGCAATATAGCTCAGCGAACTAAGCACCTGCCTAGGCAAGCACATGAACTGGGGTTCGATCCCCAGTATCGCATGCCCCCCACACCAGCCCTGCCCCCAAGCACACTGAGCCAGTAACCGAGTCTGGACATGGTGGCGCGCACCTATAATCCCAGCACTAGGGAGGCTGAAAACAGGAGGATCACTACAAGTCTGAGCTGCGTAGTGAGACCCTGTACCAAATTTAAAAAATAAAATTTTAAGAAAAGAATGAATTAAGTCCTTGCCTCTGTACAAAGCCTTGATCAGTTTTTAAAATGCTCCCATGAAGTCTCTCACTCTACCCATTCTAAGCTCTCCACGTTGCCCACGATTCTCCATTCTCAGGATCCTGACTCACCAATACAGCTTGAAGAGCTTCTATAGTGGTTTTATGTGTTACAATCTCACAAACATTAGAAGTGAAATAAATTTTATTTAGATATATTTTAAGGTTTTCAGAATTTCATAGTATGTTTTAAACTAAATAACACACCCCAAGATAAAGTAGCACCACAGCAGGTTTATTCTTTGCCCAACAGGGTACACTAAGTTGAGCCACACCATAAACATACGCATGGCACTCGGGCATGGCGGCCCACGCCTGTCACCCCAGCGTTCTGAGAGGCTGAGGCAGGAGAAGGCAAATTAGAGCCCAGCTCGGGCAGCCGAGAGACTTAATGAGACCCTGTCTCAAGTAAAAAGAAGGGTCGGGACAGAACTCAGGGAAAAGGCCTGGGCAGAGCCCCTGGTACCACCAGAAAAAAGGTGTTCCTGGGTAGAGATGACTTCCTTCCCCCATGAGCATACACATCAATCTGACATGCCAGGTCTTGTCTTTTTTTTTTTTTTTTTTTTTTTGGCAGAACCAGGGATTGAACTCCGGCCCCTGCGCTTGCCAGGGAAGCGTTTATTCTGCTGAGCCATTTCCCGGCCCCATCAATCTGACATGCAATATCATCCATTTATGGTTAACAACGCATTAACATTACTGGTTGCCTAAATTTCTTCCATTCATTTTAAATGATTAGTTGAGCCTACTTCTTCTAGTTCAATTTGAATGGCATTTACTTCTTAATGTAACAATTTTAACTCCAAAACTCAATTTACTTACCTTTTTGAGACCAGCAAAACCTTCCGATTCCAGAAAGAAAAAGGCAAAGGGCATCAATACAAATAAACAAAGGTTGGAAAAGAGAGAGGCAAGATTCCACAAACCTGTAAGAAGACAACAAGCAAGAAAAAAAATCAGGTTACATACTGACAGGTCTTTTCAAGTTTACTAAACTGTGATTTTAACCAAGATCTATACTTGTTTAAAAATTTAGATATATGTTTGTAGTATATAATATGCATCATGGGGAGTTGGTACAAATATATATCACACATCTTAATGCTTTTTATCTCCCAAGATTTTACTTTTGACAGCAAAAGTAAACACAAATTTCAAATATGTATTAAAATTATTATAACTTAGAGATAAAAATAACCCTTCATTCACTTATTTAACTTTCTGACGTAATTTGTGCTTATCAGGAAAAGCCAACATAGAAATCAGTGGCTTTTTCTTCATGCCCCTAAGGAGATGACATATGCAGAGATCCAAAGCCACAGCTTTTTAGACACAAAGGCACCAAAATATTTAAATTAGAGCCACCAGCCTTTATTGAGCACTTAATAAATGCCAGATACTCTGTTCAGCCTTTCACATGCATATTCCCATTTAATTTAAGCCTCATAAAACCCTAAAAATATTAACTAGCATTTACAGAGCTTTATGTGCCAAGCCCCATTCTGAGTGATTTGCAGGTCTCCCATAAACCCATGTGTTCTTCACGCAGTCCCCCTTGGGGCTGGTGGCACTGCGCCCTGACAGCAGGTGGCAGAGGCTACTGTGTCACTGGACAAAGCAGCAGCACCTGCAAGGGCAGAGCCACTTCCATGCCCCAATCCAAGTGGAAGGGAAGAAGGAAAGGAAGCTCACGTGGCCGTTTCCCCCTTGGGCACATATGACACTTCTTTATGAAGCCAGAATACATGGCCACTAAATGAGAGCAGAAATAGGAAAAGAGACGCTTGGTGCATCATTGGCCACAAAAGTAGTCAGGGATTCCAATGTTGGACCCAACATTGCCCATTTTGACAGGTGAGACACCAAGTTTCAACATGACAAGTACACTCTCTATGTAAGTTTATAAAATCATGGCCCAAAGATAAAATCATATGAAGCACAAATTCACTGCAGTGCACGCAGCAATAATTCAATGCTTTTAAAACCAGACAATTGGGTCGGGAGATGGCTCAGTAGAATAAGCGCTTGCCTGGCAAGCGCAGGGGCCTGAGTTCAATCCCCAGTTCTGCCAAAAAAAAAAAAAAAACATAAAAAAAAAAAAAAAAGAAGGTTGGAGACCATTGGTATGTTGCCTTGTTTAGGCACAGTGGAAAACAGATATGCCAACTTGAAATCATTTGTGTTATAAAAGATAAAGGTGATCATGTCAACTACCACACTCAATTTACATTAGATAGTTTTAATCCAATGAAATGTCATGTAATTCCTTCAGAAAACTTCAAAGAAAACCACGACCTACTACGGCAGGGGAGCGCTCCACACAGCAGAGCACTACCGGAGCCTTTCTCTGCAACCTTGTCATCAGGAATCTCTACAGCTAAATCCCACGAGTGATCTGCAGTCTCCCACAAACCCACGCGCTCTTCACGCAGTCCCCGTGCACATGCTTCTCCCCAACTTTGATCTCTCAGTATCTGTTTTGAAGAATCAAAAACAGAGTTGCAGGAATGAACAGTATCATATCAGACAGCTGAACGTTAACAAGGCAACACTCTCTGTGGAAAAGTTCACAGGCCAAACACTATGGGAATCACCTTAGAATTAATTTCCAACTCCCAGTGCAAAGGAAGTAAGTGTATACAAAAAGTAAAAACAGCTTTGCTGAGCTACAGCACACAAAAACTATGCAGAGGGCTATGGCTCAGCTGCAGTTCAAGAGCACCCTCCACGGAGGCACGGGTACTCGAGGCCCATTCTCCAGCCGGCAGCAGTGCTGAAGCTGTGTGACCTGCAGGAAGCAGGGCCTGTGGGAGAGGAGACTCGACCCCTGGAGAGGACCAAAGCTTCTGTCCTAGTAGCACAGCCTCCCTCTTGCAGGAAGTCCCCCTGAAGTCAGGTTAAGGAGGCCACCTCATGCACATGGCTCCTTCCACATGTGGCTGGTTCCCTCTGCTTCTCTTCTGTCATCATGTGGGGGGAACTGTGCCCATGAACCTCCCAAACTGTGAGCATAGAACAGCCCGCAACAGCATCATCACAGTCAGGCTAACTGACATGGCCATCCTCTCTGCGGGTCCTGCACCCTTGTAGAATCCCTGCCTCCAGCCACTCCTGCCTCACCCCTCTCCTAGGCAGCCACTGACTCTGCACTTTAGAAAATGTATTTTCTAAGACGATATAAAATGGAATGTGTAGTTTACACTCTTGTTCTTTCTGGCTTCTGTCACCAACCACAATTACTTTGAGGTTTTGCAGCACGTAGATTTGCACATTCACAGGATGGATCATACCAAACTGTTGCTGGGCGGCACCCACCTCAAAGTCATCAGGACTGTTCTCAACTTGCGGCAGCTACAAACAAGTTGTTGTCAACACTCGTATGCAAATGTTTGTTATGGAACCAGAACGTGAGCGCCAGGCCTGCCGGCTGACCTACAACACTCACGTGACCTTCAACAGGCTTTCAATGTACAGACAGCCCTCTGTGCCACACAGCCGCCACCACATCACTTTTCTTCATTTGGAGCTTACTAAAGGTTCATGCATATGACCTGCATCTCATATATCCAATTGTAAGAGTGAACAGTGGGGAAAGATGTGCAGCAGACACGGCTGATGTGAGTCAGTGCACTGTCAGTCGTGCTGCCAGGCATGCTCCGAAAGACCCAATGGAGGCACCAAAGCCCCAGCGCAGTATTTTAATTCTTAAACCTAACAGTCCCTTTCTGCCAGCGTGAGGCCACTCACTCTGAGCATTTGACCACCTAATTAAACTTTGCTAGTTTTTCCTTATTGTCACGTCACATCCAACTTTTTCTCATACAGAAGAGCCTAGACACAATTTGGGACCCATCATGCACAGCAGTACCTCCTTCATGCTGCACTTCACAGTGTATTTTCTCTCTGCAATGTTTTATAGTTTATAATAAATAGGCCTCACGTACCTCTAAATATTTCATATTTTAGATGTTAAGTGGCACAGGTTTTTAAATTCACTGCCAATATAAAAAATACAATCACATCTGTATATGTCTTGTATCCTGCAACCTGAAAAAATGCACTTGCTGTTTGTAAGATTCTTTACAGTACAGCCCGTGAAAAGTTCTACATAGACAATCATATCAACAGGCAGTTTTTCTTCTGCAACTAGGTTGTCCTTTTAATTTCTACAATGCATTAAATGGAAGAGGTCAGAACAGGCTTGCCTGCCTTGCTCCTAATCTCTGGGGGAAACATTCCGCCTTTCACCACTGAGTATGTTGCCCACAGGCTTTACATAGATGCTCTTTCTTAGGAGAGAACATGGTTTTCTGATTTTATAAAGAATGCATATTGAATTTTGTCATATCTTTTCTCTGCATGTATTGTGACTTTTAGCATGCGAATATGGTAAATTACATCGGTTTTTCAAGTCATGATGCATAATTGTTTTTATATAACGCTATATTTTGTTTGCTTAAATTGTTTAGAATTTATGCCTCTGTGTTCACAAGTAATACCATGTAATAGCTGTCTGGTTTTGTTACCAGGTTAATGTTGGCTGATGAGATAGAAAGTATTCCTTCAACTTCAATTTTCTGGAAAAGTCCATAGTGCCAGTGTCCACCTGGTAAAAATGACAGTGAGATTCTGCTGGCGTAGAGCTTCATTTGTAAGAACGCCTGTAACATTCTCAACGTCTGAGGAAGCATTAATCATTTTTGCATTTCAAGGAATTTGACTGTTTCTCTAAGTTGCTGAGTTTATTACTAAAAGGTGTTCGTAGGATGTCTTTCAAAAGCTGTAAGATCTATAATGATGTCACCCCTTGTTATCTCAGAAAATGTGTATCTTTATTTGCACTAATCAGGCTAACATCATTTTTCAATTTTATTGGCCTGACTAATTTCTCCTCTCATCTTTTTCCTTCCTTTCCTCTTGCTTTGGGATTCATTTGTTCTTTTTCTATTAATATGCAAAATACAGTTTCTCAAGGTGGAATTCACTGAAACTGATTTGAAATCTATCTTCCATTCTCATACAGGCCCTTAATGTTATACATTTACTTTTTTTTTTTTTTTTTTTTTAAACCAGGAACTGAACTCAGAACTCTGTGCTTGCCAGGCAGGCTCTGTCCTGATGAGCTGCCTCCTACACTGACTTTCAAAGAGCAGGTGACTTTAGGATTTTTTCTTCTTCAGTGATTCTGATCAATTTGATGATGTGCTTCAGGATGATGTGCTCCTTTGTGTGGGGCTAGGTGGACACAGGGAACACGTGTTAAACCCAAGCAGTTCACTTCTTGGCCAAGAGGGAAAAACAAAAACAAAAAAAAAGGACAAAGAGGCCAGCTCTTACCACCCTTCGAAGGCCCAGCGCCAGTGACCTGAGGAACTCTCAGCTTCCACCCCCCAAGGACGCCAAGCCCCTCGCGGAAAGCAAGTGCGTCTCAGCGCTCTGCCTCCCAGAACCGGACCTGTACACTCTGGCCCTCGTGGCCTCTCTCACCTCCCACCTTGTGGGTACCAGGTTACCGGCTCTCGCTCGCTGCCCTGCAGGCTGGTGCCCCCTGTAGGCAACACCTTGCTTTGTTTTTGTTTTTGTTTTTGTTTTTCTTAATTTTATTGAGAAAGAAGTAGCAATGAGACAGGTTCAAAACAGGTTAGTAGGGCAGTTACAATAATCCATACATTGCATATTGTTGTCTTTGTAGTAGTTATTCATAGTACAAGATGCTGACATGATAGCTTGTCTAAACACTATTAGTTCAAAACTTTCTTCTCACTGAACTAAGAGAAAGTAGCTTGCTTTGTTTCCTAACTCCAAGAATTACTGCCCATAGCTAGCAACATTTCCCAGTTTGGGATTTTACAATGTACAATGGTGCAGCAGCAAGGCACATTTACAGAAACCATACTTCAATTCTGGACTTTCCCCGGGCACCCAC